AATATAGAGTAAATAGAAGTGTTGTAACTTATATTTATACAATATTAAGATTATATTAAAGAAAGCAATGATTAATATTAATAAATTATAGGTGTGTTTTAATTAAGTTATAACAATGGGACCAGAAACTAAATTGAATCATAATAAAAAAAGTTTTTTTAATTTTATTAATTTTTTAATTATCAATTTAATAGTTTGAAAACAGTTTGATTTGATTGTCTAATTAGAAAAACTCTTATAATAAATTTACAACTTTATATTTTATTTAAGTAAATAAAGCACATACATTAGAAAAAAAATTAAAGCACATACAACTTGATTGTCACTCACTTTATAATAAATAAGTTTTTTCAAATATAAAGACTTTGTAACAACCTATGTAATTAATTATGACTAATATTTTCAGTCAAATTTATAAAATTTTATTATTAAAAAGTCTATTTTTTTAGGATTAAAATCACTACAATTTTATAGTAATTGAAAATAGTTATATTTTAATTTTTTGTAATTTAACTTTAAATTTAAAAAAAAATGTCAATGTTATTCATTAGTTACCTAATAATTTTAAATACAAATTTTAAAAATTTAAATAAAAAAGAGATATACAATGCATAGAGAACGGAATATGATGACATAAGAAAAATAATAAAGACGAAGAGTGGTTAGAAAAAAAAAATGTTATATTTGTCATATAAAAAAAGCAAGACGTGTAAATTCATTTTAAACTATCTAAACTTACTATAAAATTGAACCCATTCTAGTCTCTTTTAATGTGACTCTTTCATAACTTTTTAGAGTATTTCTGTAAATATATTTCTTTTTACAATTGAATCATGTGAAAGGATCATAACTATGTATTAAGATTCACCTCCAAGTACAATTAACACTAATGTATTTTTATATTTAAGTTTTAATATGCATTTATTTTTCTACCATTAAGGATTAACTCAAGTGGTAAGATTAAGTTTAATAATCAAAAGGCCTCTCAGATATTAAGATTTCAAATTTATGAAAAGTATTTTTGGAAGACGTGGAACCTTAAAAAAAAATAGACTTACACCCAAAAAGTCATAATAAATATTGTAATACATAAACATGCATGTGCATATGGAAACATATCAACTAAGAATATCCTTTCTACATAAGAATGTAACTACATACCTAAACAATAAAATCTTATCATGAATGTTAAATATTAAAATATAAAAGTTATACGATAATTTTAAAAAGTGATATAATTTTTTAAGTGATCATGTGATTTTTTTTAAAAATAATTGACCAAGGATTAAGTTTACTATTATTATAAAGTAACTACAAATATTTAATATTTAATTTGTCTTTATCTGAGTTTAAATATCAAGAAAATAAAAAAGAAGTATGTCATTCAATGTTATTCAACTGTTACTTTATAATTTTAATTATAAAATATTAAATTAAAAAAAAAAACCTTAAAGAAGGATGACAATAAAAAAAAGAAAAGAAATGAACGGTGTGTGTCAACTTGTCTTAATTTTTTATTTATATATATATATATATATTGTATAAATAAAGATTTGTTAATATTAAATATTAAATTTAGACAATAAATTTTTATAAAATACAAAATTAATTAACATAACCATTAATTTGAAAATTCTTATTATATAAACTTTATAAAATTTTATTAAAAAAACTATTAAGTATTTAATCATATTACTTTAAAAAAATATTATTCAATTATTATTCTATAATTTAAAATATAAAATATTAAATTTAATGAAAGAAAGACATATGATGCATAGATAAAGAAGGATAATGATAATAAAAAAAATAAAGATAAAAAGTTGTTAAGAAAAAAATTATATTTGATGTAAAGATAATATCAGGTTATCTCAACCTATATGTATGTACTATATGTATGTATGTGTATCAATAAAAATTCGTTAATATTAGATGTTAAATTTAAATATTTATATCATTTAATAATTTTTTATAACATTTAAAATTGACTAACCTAACTGTTGATTTGAATATTTTTATTAAATATATATCAACTTTATAAAATTTTATTAAAAAATATTAGGTATTTAATCATATTACTTTATTACAATATATAATATATTTTAAAATATAAATAAATATTAAATTTTATATAATATGATTATGAATATTTAAATCATATAAAAATTGACATGCATAATTAAGAAGATAATATAAGATTATTCAAGAGTTAGATCAACTAATTTTACATTCTATGAAAATTATTAAGTGATATAAGTGTTTAAATTTAATATTTAGTGTTAACAGAATTGATTATACAATATATACTCAGTTTAATTCAACAAATTTTCCTCGGTTTTAATAATTTTTGTTTCAGAAGAGATGTGATTTTAAAATTGTTAAGTAAAAAAAAACATGTAATACATTAAAAAATCTACTGTTTGTTTTAAATATTTTATAATAAACGAGTGCTTCTTTTAGACATGAATTATTTGCGGCAAAATATGCAATTCATCATTTGATGATTAATATTTTAAACCAAACTTATCATAAAATTTTATCTCTAAAAAGTCATTTGAAAAGTGGGTGATATAATCTTCATTTTAAAAGTCATTTATTATATTTTTGTTTCTTCTTAAGAATTGTGGTTTTAAATTTTATCTAAATTGAAATAAATCATACAATACATTAAAACTTTGTAGTTTATTCAACATAATAACACAATTCAGACCACTCACTTTGTAACTCAAGACATGAATTGTTTGTGACAACATATGCACTTCATTATTTAATGACTAATATTTTCAATTAAATTCATCATATATTTTTGTCATTAAAAAGTTTCTTTTAGGATGGGAATCACTGCAATTATATAGATATATAGTTATCTAATACTTGATTTTCAATTAAAAAGTGTTTCTTGATTTGAATTTAAATCTCGAAAAAATAAAATTAAAACATGTCATTCAATGTTATTCATTAGTTATCTAATACTTTGACTTATAAAAATATTAAAATAAATTAAAAGAGAGACATACAATGCATAGATAGTGGAGGGTGAAGAAAATGACAAATAAGAAAGATAGAAGAGTAGTTAGAAGAAAATTGAGGTTGTTTGTTGTATAAATAGTTGTGAAATTATCTTCATCTATCTAAACTTGCAACAAATTAACTAAAGAACAGGGTGAAAAGGGTGAGTTATTTTGCAAAATGAGTTACAAAAGTTAGTCTATATCATTTTAAAATGGGTTGACTAATCAACTTATCTTAAAAATAATTAAAAAAGCATCTAATAAATAAACTTGACTAATATTGATAAAAAATGATGGGTTATATGAGTCAACTTGTAAGTTGACTTAGTTAACCCACTGAACTCATCTTAAAATTGAATAAAAATAATGACGTTTGCGGGTTAAGCAAGTTTAACTTTTAAGTTAATTTTCCCCATCTAATGACAATCTAAGGCTGCATTTGATACGTTCAAATAACTTACCTAAAAGAACGGGTTACAAAATACAACTCATCCTATCATTTTTGGCAAGTTAACCTGCCTCAAGTTAATCTACCAACCATATCTTACTAGTTTGGTCATCACTAGTTTTATGCATCATATTCATATATTATAAGATTTTATCAAAGATTTTGGCCCACTCAACTGGTATTATAGGCAAAATAGTTTAATATTTTCAGTTTATTATAACTAAATAATTTTATCTTTGATGAGTTTTATTCCATTTCATTCCTCAACTTTCATCTTTTTCTTATGCTTTTATTGTTTCATTTAGGAACCCATTCTTTTATTATGAACATCTCTATTCTCTCCCTTTACCACGTTGTTAGAATGGAACAATATTATTTATCATCATTGTTGGATCTTAACTCCTTTTAAAGACATTTCTTCACACATTTACTTTTCAATATACTTGGAAAGTATTTTTAAAATTTTAAAATAAGAAGCATTAAATGTTCCAATAAAAGTAGTGTGTAAAAATTCTAAAAAACTTGTTACCAGTTAAAATCACAGATTGTAGTGAAAAACATTCATTTAACTTGGCATGTAACAACCCACAAGTCTTCTTCATTGAATTCCCAATTGTGTAAATGTCAAATGGCTTCAAAGATCTAATGTATTCAGGATCCATACTCATAGTTCACCAATGTCTTGGCACTAAAGCTTGCATGACGTGATACCCTCTTCCTGGAATAGGTTAAAATTTTTGACATGCTCCCGAGGCCTAACCATCCTAGTTTCTTCAATTCACAATGCATACCTTCATACTACTCGAGGTTATAAAGCAACACATTAGACATACAAAAAGTATAATAAATAATTTTTAAATAAAATTTAACTATTATAGATTGTTTAAATTCAACTCTAAAGTATAAGAATAACAAAATTGAAGCTTCAAAATGTCAAAATCAAATAAAACAATAGCCTTGAGATGTATCTTGTGGTGGAGAGATAATGGCTCAATTTGGATAAATTTCTCAACAAGTACTTATAAAAGTAAAAAAAAAAAAAAAGTAAAATAATAAAATTTCTTCTACAAGTTAAAATCTATTTATGTTTCTCTCTTTTTTTTTAGTTCTCTCATTTAACTTTAATAAAATTTGAAAAAATAAGTTATTTCTAATTTATGAAAATAATTTAATTCTTTCTTATATAAATTTTTTTATATAAAAACTCCTCTAAAAGTTTAACAAAACTGGGCTACCTCTGACCCCTTTTCTTTGCTTCTCCACCAAAATTGTTCTTTAGCATATTGGGCACTTTGTGTCATCCTTAAGAGAGCATCACGTACATGAGGCGGCGAGGGCAATATAAGGGAAGAATGCCAAATCTTTCTTTTGCATTTTCCCATAAATATTTTTTAAAATAATGTTACAAATATATATTTTTCCTCTATAGAGAGATGATTTCAATTCGAATGCCAAAAGTGAAAAATATATAAAACAGTAATACAATAACCCAAGGTATTGCAATGATATGTTTTTTTATATCACTAATAAACTTTTGACTAAATTTCCAACCACAAAACAATCCGATTCATCCATACAAGTGAATTCAAATTTGGCCTACAACAAGCATCTGCGATGCTCAACACCGTGTACAAATACCAAAGTGTTCAGGGCCTAACAAGATCATATAGCCCACTATATTAATGATGCAAAAGAACTAAGTGAAACTACCTCAAATTGGGTGGACAATTGTGTAAACATTTTATAAAAAAATGAAAAGGACACCCAAAATTAAATTAAAAAAAAAAGTTTAGATGATGGAGATTTGGAAGTGAAACAAAAAGAGTAAATGGAAAAAAAAGGTTCTAGCTATTTCTTTACCAGAACCATATCCTTATTGGAAGTGATTATTTGGTGAATTACTGGCAGAGCTGCTCAACTGCTGTGACAATCTGAGAAGGTTGAACTACTGTCCATTCCTCCAATGTCCCAGCATATGGTGTTGGCACATCTTGTGAGGATAAACAGATAATAGGAGCATCCAAATAGTCATTGAAATTTTCAGTAATAGCAGCTGTCAGGCTAGCACCAATTCCACCCGTGCGCATGCATTCTTCCACGATTAACACGCGGTGAGTCTTCTTCACTGAATTCCCAATTGTGTGAAGATCAAATGGTTTCAAAGATCTGATGTCAATTACTTCAGGATCATACCCTTTGTTCACCAATGTCTTGGCAGCTTGCATGACATGATATCTCATTCTGGAATAAGTTAAAATTGTGACATGTTCCCCAGGCCTAACCATCTCAGCTTCTTCAAGTGACAATACATACTCTTCATCTGGAATTCTCTCCTTCAAGTTATAAAGCAACACATGCTCAAAGAGTATCACGGGGTTCTCACTTCGGATTGCAGCTTTCATCAAGCCCTTGGCATTATAAGGGGTTGAGCAAGCCACCATTTGGATTCCAGGAATTGATTGAAAATATGACTCAAGTCGTTGTGAGTGCTCGGCCCCAAGTTGACGCCCAACTCCACCAGGGCCACGAATAACAATTGGTATTTTAAACTGGCCTCCAGATGTGTAATGAAGCATGCCACAATTGTTGGAGATCTGGTTAAATGCCAGAAGTAGAAATCCCATGTTCATACCCTCAACAATTGGTCTCAAACCAGTCATGGCAGCTCCAATGCCCATGCCTGTGAAGGAGTTCTCCGCAATAGGAGTGTCCAAAACCCTGAGGTCCCCAAACTTGGTGGCCAGGCCCTTAGTCACCTTGTAAGATCCTCCATAGTGACCTACATCTTCACCCATGACGCACACCCTTGGATCCCTGTCCATTTCTTCTTCCAAACCTTCAAGTAAGGCTTCAAAAAGGAGAAGTTCGTGCCTGAGAATGAAATGTACATCTGGTCAGTTTCATCATTTTTGGTGTCATATCATCCTATGTTTACAACCAATACAGACAATAAGAGCGCATACAACAAATGGTAAAGCATGCTTTTAGCAAGTTCAACATATCACTAATTAACTGGGGCTCAAAATTAAGTGTAAAATAAATGTCCCTTATCAACTTTTTTGGCTTTGTCACAGTTCCAAACATATTTTCTTTTTATACTAAATTTTATCAGAATCAAGAAATGGAAAAACATAAAAAAGATTGTTCTTTAACATTAAAATCAGACACCCTTAACAGCTAGCATGGCTTCCAAGCACCCTTTTGCGCGCTCCAGGCTAAACTACAAAAACAAGTATAATTACCATAACATTAAATAGCTTATGGCCTATGGGGTTTGCTTATCATTTGTGATAATAAATTATAGTTTGAAAGTGCATTCTCTGAGTAAAAGGCATATCTAGAGCCCATTTCACGAGTAAAGAACAAATATTTTATTTAAAAATAAAAACACAAGGAGAAAAACTGAAAATTTATGAAATATGATCAATAACTTGGAATGAAACTGGTGCCTAAATAAATATACAATTATTTTGAAAGTGCAAATTAAGCCAAAACTTCTTTAATGGAATTCATATCAGTCAATCAAAATTAATTAGAATATGTGATAACTGCTGTAATAGCATTAGCAAAGAGCAAGGCTCTTGCTATGGCTACACCAATTATGCTAAAAGACCAAGAGGCTCCCTCTTGCATAAGCTTGGCTTTTAGAGCCTAGGCAAGGGCCTTTGTTAGCTTATGGCACCAAATCCACTAAGTTGATGGCTACTTTGAGGCGTTCTATTCCTTCATTCTAAAGGAGGGGAAAAGATGTGAAAATCCCAGAAGGCCGCTCAGCAAAGTAGAAACCTTTAGTAATAACAATGGTAATCTGGTCTGTTAGTTTCTAAAAGGGGAATTTCCATTCTTGGATTCCCATCCAGAAGGTCACTAGTAAACTAGCGAGCGTTAGTACTGACAAGGGTAATCTGGTCAGTTGGTTTATAAAAGGGAAATTTCCACTCTTAGTTTCTCTCTATTTTGAATTTAATCAAAATGAATAACATAACCAAATCAATGAACTTCTGTTACATTTTAGAAGCTGGAGGGAAATGTCAACAAGCAGCGAGAAGTGCCTCTCACCACATAGGCTACTGGGGAGACAAGACATAGCACCTTAAGGTGCCCTATAGCTTTAACTATTTTCAAATACTAATCCACATAGAAGCTTAATTTGCTAGGTGGAGGTCAAGCATGGCATAAGTATTCATAGCCAAAACCATAGAAGATGATTTGCACAAGTAATTGTAGGAAGAAAGCAGGATCAGATAATTTGTTTTCAGTTAAATTAAATTATATAAAGAGGATAATTTACCAGCAAAAGGTGTAAACCTATCGACTTAGCTCCATCTCACATTCTAGATAATTTGTTTTCAGTTAAATTAAATTATATAAAGAGGATAATTTACCAGCAAAAGGTGTAAACATATCGACTTAGCTCCATCTCACGTTCTATACGGTGTTTTAAGACATGATTAATTTTCAAAAACTAAAATAGCAGTGTATAAGATAAACTCAACAGCAGCTGATGGCAGAAAGAAACATACCCAGTTTTTGACGATGCAGAAGTATCTGTCTTCGTCTGCAAACAATCCACAAGATTATAAGAAACACAACTACACCACTTAAACTCTATCCCATCAATCCTAAATCAAACTGCAAAAGGGGGAACGAAAAACATGGGAATGAGACAACTTACTGCAACAGCATTAGTAATCAAACTCTGAGGCTTACGAGCTCCTATGTTGAGGATCCTTGCATCAGATCTGACAACAAATATTTGTCCTTTCCTATCTGAATCATCAAAGAGAGTACACAAAATAAAAAGAAACATTTCAGACAATACTCACCCCAGGAAAAACCACACTACCCAATCAAAGGAAAAGAACATATATAAGCATTTTGAAATCCAAAATCCAAGATAACTAACACTGACACGAGTGACAAATTGGGAAGAATAAACAGGATCAAAATTAAATAAACAAACGTTTACAGGAAGATAGAATGTGAATAAGACCCACATGGGCAATGTCCAAGAACAATGACCAACCCAATTCAATGATTCAAAAAAATTATAGTTCCCTCCAATCCGCAATGCTTCCATGAGATCAGTGAATTAAAAATTAAAATTACAAAGAATGAATTTTTATTCTAAAAAAAATGAAAGATACCTGAAAGGGATGGGAAGTGGAGTTTGTTAGAGGCGGAGAATGCTGTGGGAGCTCCAAGTGCCTGGAAAAGGGTCGCCATTGAATGAATCACCGAAGAGATCGAAGTTGAGGAACCGAATGAGGAGACAGGAAGAAAGAGAGGGTTCCGATGAATAATATAAATAAGAAAAGAAGGAGAAAGAGAAGGGGCAAACACAATGCAATGGGAGAAAGACAGACACAGGGTGGCGGAGAAACTGAGGAAAAAGCTTCTAGTTTGTGTGTTTGGTTTGGGCGTGTTGCAATGCTTTTTACGTTGCTATCTTAGCGTTCAGCACTGCAGCAACTTTTTTCGCATAATTTATTTTTCCTACTACCATTTATGATGTTTCATGTAATTCTTGACTCCTTTAGAAATTAGAACCATACTAAAATGTTCATATTCTTAAAACATCTCTAACAATGCCACTTATCATATTTGCTTAACTCATAGTTAAACATCTCTAATAATTTTTACATTTTAATTTTGATATAATAAAATATATAAACAACGTATAATAGATTAAAATGTAACAAATTTATTTTAAATGGTTTTTTTTAAACAATTAAAACAAAAAGAAATACATTTAATTTATAATTTGTGAAATATGCAAAATACATATTTCTATGTGAGTCCGTAACATTAAAAAACCAATAAAGGATGTTAAAAATAAAGCCAGATGGAAGCAGCAAACTAAACACGAAACATTGTATAATCCGTCATAAACTTCAAATATCCATGACTTTTTACCATTCGAAGATTACATTCATACGCCTTACAACATAGGAGTTGACGGTCCTTATGCTTTCTTAGTGGGTGGCCTAATTGAACCCAACACTGCACACTGACAACAGTTTCAATTGTCATTTGGGACCTCATCTCATCTCATGCAGGGTAGGAAAATGTAAAAAGTACACTAGATGCAAGATGTAGTTAGTGCAGGGAATCCTGGTCCTCTCATGCTAAATCACACTATTACATGGGCTTCATCTTCAACATCCATTACCACTTTTTTTTCCCTGCTTTTTTTACTGTATCTTGAATTTTAATTTTGTCTGTGACAAAACTGATTGAGAGAAGAGGATGTGAGAATTATTAAGACACAAAATTTAAAACTTAAACACGATGAATGTCTCCTGTTAGCTCCATGCCCCAAAACCCAAGTAGATTTTACAATAAACAACCCCCAACTAATTGTGTAGCTGTATTCTGGCACGATTAATTAGATCCAAGCCCTTGACCTCGCATGTCGCATGTTTCACACAACAATAGGTTAAAATAAATTCTTCTTCGGTCAAAAATTAACATGTACTTCAAAATTTGTATATCTATAAAGTTTGTAATTATAAAAGTAATATATTATTTCATCATAAATAAAAAATTGTAAAATATTATTAACATATTTTTTTTTATAATGTGATATCCTATGATAACAATTGTGTATGAAAACATATTATATAAACAATATTTCATTGTTAGCTAATATTCTAACGTAATATTATATCAATAATATTTTCTTATTATAAATATCATAATAATAATTATTTTAATGTGTTTTATTATATAGATTTATAATACTTGTCAACAAACACATATATTAAATATTAATCATACATATTTAGGGAAATTAAAGAATAAAATTTAATATTACGTTCAATTCAATGCATAAATAATTAAGATTTGAAAAAAAGAAGAATTTTTAATGTGTCATATAAAAAAGACATATTAAAAATATTCTCATATTTAATTAACGAAGCTCACTCTCCCTTTTATTTTTAAAAATTATACTCCTTATTTTTAAAAATTAAAAAATATATTATTTTGTTTATTTTAATATATATTTTAAGATCATTATAAGTTAATCTTTTAATAATAAAAAAAATATTGACGAATGTTTATGAGTATTTTCTTTCTCAAAAAGGTAGTTTTCAAAAGTATATTATTATTAAAACATTTTTTAAACATAAGAGTGTAAAAAATTAAAAGAAAATCTCGCAAAAAATTTGACGACGGCTGATGTGGCGAAAGGACTGTTACTTTGAAGAAGAATCCGAGTGGCCAAATACTTTAGAAAATAGAAACAAAGAAAAATTAAAAATAACAATAAATCATGGAAATACTGTATCTTCTATGCTCTATCGTCTACAATTCCCTCACCTCAGTGGTTCTCTCCCTTATCCTTCCATTTCACGCGTTACTGCGGCGGTGGGGACCCTCACGCGCCGCTTCTTCAGTCTCAAGTGACGAAGCTGGGCCCATATATCTCTATGAAGGCACAGTGTGGCACCAACGCCGGCATCCCATCACCCATTCCTTCCAATATCGGGTTCGCTACGCGCTCATTGACCTCGATCGTGCCCCTCACGCGCCACACGACCATCTTTCTCCCGATGAAGCTCGCCAAATTACCGATACCAATGGACCCATGTAATTCATGTTCTTTATTTTTATTTTTTTGCTCATTGGGTTCTGACAGAGCCATGCAAAATTTCACCTTGATGTTTCAATTTTGTTTTCTGTGACTGTTAGTTTATGTTATAAAAGTTAATGTGATTTTTTTTACTCTGTTATGAAATTTTTATTTCCATGTGCTTCATGTTGATCCAATTCTGCAGTTTTCTCTTGACAATCCCTCCTAGTGTGGGGTATGAACAGAATCCTTTGAGTGTGTATTATTGCTATGCTGTTGACGGCTCTACTAGACGTTTGAAGAAATGTATTGCTGAGGTGTGTAGCAATGATTCTCCCCCTGCTTAGTTTCTGTGACTTTTCTAATTTATGCCTCATTCCTTACACGAACTGTTAGTGGGTAATCTTCGCTCTGACAACTTCATTTTACTTGCTCAAACCAATTAGAATTAGACCTAGCTTTGTGTTTTTTCCTTCATTTTGTTATTAAGGAAATGCATGAATTGTAGAAGCTTTCATTTCTTTCTAGGACTCTTTGTTGAATCAGAAGCAATCTAAGGTTTATGTGTGTGTCTGTGTGTGTTGGGGGGGGAGGGGGGGGCGCGATGCATTTGAACTTCTAATATTTGATAAATGAAGAATGTTTGTATTTTTCAAATTCTATTAATAATATCCCTAATCAGAATATTAGAAATCTAGGATTAGGAAAAGGTTGTGCAAGGGTTGAGAAGTCTTACCTATCAGACAGGTGTTTAACTCTGTTTTTTGCTCTCTGCTGACAGTACTGCTGGTTATTTATTTATTAATTTGTTTGTTTCAGGTAACGAATACACCGTGGGGTGAACGAGTATCTTTTCTTTTCAATCCGCATTCTGATCTAGTGGCCAAAGCTTTACATGTCAGTCCTTTTATGGTATGTCTTACCGGAGGAGCATTCAAAAGGAATTCATAACAGTGTGCATGGAAGTTAGTTGTTAATTAGTAATTTCCTTCCAGCATACAGTTATAACTGATGGTGTATTTCTGTTTGGTAGTTTTACATCCTTATCATTGCTTCATTTTTTTCTGTTCTTCTGTAGTTCTATTTGTGTCTAAATCCCCGTTCTGATAGCTGAGTTGATTATCAATGAATAACAATTTTTTCTGTGTGATATCATCTCTGCACTCTCGTTTTCCATATGGTGTTTTGCTTGTAAAAGTATGTAAACCATGCCTTTAGCTTTGCAGTCTTTAGGACACTTTGGCTCAAACAAACTTATTTTGTCCAGATTAAAAACAATAGTTAATCTCTCAGTTCCACTCTACCCTTGTAATTTTTTCTTCCTCTTATGGCTATTGTCAGCTTTACACTGCTCTGCAACTTTTGTTTGGTGTTCATCTCCCCAAACTGAATATTGAGTCTATTTGCACTGATATATAAATAACGAGATTATTTTTCTCTTGCTTTGTGTTTATTGAAGCATGGTAATGGGAAAACTATATGTTTGGTGACAAGAAATGAACTACTATTTTTTGACAGAGCCCTGCAAGTTATTAACCAATGTTTGATTGGTTCAAGAATCAAGAGCTTGTTCATTTTTTTGGACTCCTTGTGTTCTCCTATTCATGTGCCGAAAGCAACCTGAAATAATGCTGTCTACTGAGTTTTTGGTAGTTGCAGAAAAGGATTAAGTTATATGTCAGTCTGCTATATTCTGACATTCGGTGTTTTGTTTGTAATGTAATTGTCATATTTTTAAGGGGAAACCTCTCTTAGACATGCTATGGGGTAAAATTGAGAATAAAATTTTTATAGGGATGAACTTATATAATTTTGTAAATACTATGCTGTGAACATAAAGGGTAAACATAGCCCTGTTCATGTCAGTGGAATGAAACTGGAACTAAGTGATGGTAATAAAGATTTTGGATTAATAAATAAAATTTTCCTATATATACCATAATGTCTTCAATATATCATGGTTTGCCTTAGATGTTTATTGTACACATGATAATCACAAAAAATTTAGTTTGTTTGCATTTTATTAATTTGCATCTCCTTGAACTATTTTAGGATATGCTTGGGAGTTGGAATATCAAAGCAAATGATCCTGGAGAGAATCTTTCAATATCAATTTCAGTTCATCATCCTGAGCATGGAAACTATTTTACTGCCAGTCTGAAAGCCAAAAAGTTGTCCTCATCCTCAGAGTCAGATCATGCAGTGTTCTTTTGGTTGATGCCTCATAAAGTTGCAATATGGATATATTGGCATGTAAGCTTCATTTTCGCTATACTTTCCCTCCTACTGTGTTTTTACATGATAAGTATTAAATGCAAATATTGTCAGACTATGAGAAGTTTTCTTTGGCAAGCAATTTAAGAGGCCTGAAATTGAAAATCGCTGAAATTTTAGGTGTGATAGGAACTGAAATTTACTAAAGCCCAATTTGGGTAAACATTTAGAAAGTCCTTATAAAAAAAATTCAGTATAAAAAATGAATAAAACTTCTTTTATAAGTTATAAACATTTTATTTCTTTTACTTTTAGAGAAATTAAATGAGAAAATTTTTAAAAAAATAGGAAAACATAAGTTGTTTCTAATTTATGAGAAAAAATATATTAACTTTTTATATTAAATTTTTTCTCTTATAAGAACTTGTAGAAGTTTACCTAAACTGAGCTTAAGTAGATAAACTCTTCGTAATCAGAGGATCCCTCTATTCAGAAATCAAACATCAACTCACAAGTATGGAAAAGTTGCAGAAAACAATAAAGAGATGATTCACTTAAGCTCCCAACACCTTTCTGGTTCCTCCCTATCCCCCTCCCCTCTTTCAACATCTTTTATGTGTGCTCAAAACCATGTAGTTTTGTGAGGATATAACTAAATCATTACATGCTTGAATTAAACCAGCATGTTGTCCTTGGAACATCTCCAGTCTGTTCTAAATTTGTTTAATGTTTTTCATTGATTTTTGCTTGTACTGTGTGCAATATGTTCATCCTTCTCTATCTTGTTTTTTGCAGGCTATAAAACTGTGGTGGAAAAATGTGTGTTTTGTCCAACACCCTAAATATAACACTCCCACTTACAGGGAGGAAGCTTTGGTACGGGACAAAAAACTGCAATGTTGTGGATTGGGTGATGATAATAGACATCTGCAACAAAGAGGAAGCGATCAGGGTTGTTTAGATGAAGGAAATCCCAGAAACCGGTGGTTTAGATGGAGGGATGCTAAGTGGCCATGGTCATAGAACATATTAAACTTTTTTTTTGGTTGATTTAATGAGCATCTGTTTTCAGGTGCATGTAACAAACATTTCCAAACGGGTAATGATGATAAACTTGTAGGTTGACCTTGCATTCTGGGCTGTACTAATTATGTAATTTCAGTCTTTCACATTTACTTGTTTGGTAAGTTTCATGTAATTTTCTGAACTATTGATGTAGATGACGATCCTTATTGGTCCCAAACTAGCAACTCTTTAACGGTTCTTGCACCAAGCAATGAAGCACCCATCTATGATTCAGGGTTGGTTCTTGAGTTGATAATATTATTTTACATTTGAGGACAATGATCGAAGAGATACGTACATTTCGGCGTCTCAATCAACAGTTAGTTTTCTAAATTAATTATAGCTAAAATCAATACAGTAATAATTAAAACAGTTAATTCCATAAAAAAGTTGTCACGTGTTACATGTTATGTAGACGCATCTATAATTTCCTCGTAAAAACATGGAAGAAGAAGAGGAAGGACATGGAAAAAGATAAAACTGCGCCCAAATTCTACAATTTCTTAAGAAGTCACGTGCAATCAAATGGCCTAACTTGTAGAATTGAAAAAAAAAAAAAAAAAAGTCAAATTAGGTTGAACCAACCATGAAGGATCCGGGAACCTTGTAGCAATTCATTTCCTCTCGTTTCTAGATTTATACCTACAGATAAGACAGTTGATGAAATCTCATGGGTTGATTGAAACACCACCAAACAAGCCAATTCACATGCAAAGGGAATAGAACATGGAGGAAAGAAACAATAACACATTTTTTACACTTTTTCTAACACTTGAGATGCACCACACATTAAAAAGTAAATGGAATTTAAATGGAATTTTGGTCAATTTTACTCAATAATAATAAAAAACTATTTTTTTTTAATTTTTTGTCCGATTATTTGCATTACATCCACCAGATTTGTATGAAACGGGTGGGTTGGTAAGCTTATGCTGGCTTCCACTTGCAGATTGTTCCTACAAATCAAGGAAGGAGGCACACGTGTCTACTTTCAAAGTCACAATTTGGCATGGGCACCCATTCCTAACACGTGCCGAACGTTATGATGCCCCCAGCATGCGCGACCTTTTGATAATATGGCAAGTCGGCGTGCCCTTTAAGCCACATGTGCTTCGTGTCAATTAGCTGTTCATAATCAAGAATTAAAAGACCCAAATCACATGGTCTATAAATTTTTTAGTTAATCAATTCTGATGTTTGAAACATGTAGTTCTAAATATGAAACTACAAATCAAAGTTATTAATTAGCAACATGTTATTTAAATTGAATAACTTATTAAAAGACGTGAATTTCACATAACTTTTATCTAAAAATAGCGGAAAGTGCTGATTTTTTTCTTCTTCTAAATTTAACGTATTCTTGTGAGTAAGTAATAGAAAATAAAATATTTTTTATCAATAGAGATTAAAGTTTTAGATTTAAGTTTTTTCGTATGTAAAAAATTTTTAATAATAAATTTACTCATTACATCTAAATGCTAGATCCGAATCAAATTTAAATTAAATTAGATGTGAAATAAAAAAAAATATTTTTTCTAAAAAAGTGTTGATTCAATCTAATCTACGAATCAGATAGATTTACTTATAAGTTTGTCAATACAATAAAAATTATATATATATATATATATATAATATAAAAAATTATTAATTACATTTTAATGGCTAATATTTATTAAATTATTAATTAATATTTAAATAATTAAGTTTTTATATTAATTGTAATTTAAATTAAGAATTTGTAAATTGTCTCAATTAATAGGTGGATTAAGTGAAACAAGTAAATTTTTTTAATAATTCACGAATTAATTTTTTCTTTTAATTCAGCTTGCCAAATATTTTCTACTAATTACTATCAAATACATGTATTAATGAGTAAGAAATTGTTACAAATTAACATAAGATTTTAAGTTCAAGTCCAAATAAAATAATTATATCATATATTTTTCTTAAAAGATATTAATTTTAAATTGTTAATTAATTTATATTTAATACCGATGAAATAAATATATTAAATTAAATAAAAATTTATCAAACATTACAATGTGAAAAAAGGTAATGTTTATAACACGTAATCGAAAGTTCTATGTCATAATTGAAGTGTGTATTTATCGTATCACGTTTTTAAAAAAGGAAATTGTAGAAGAAAAAATTAGCAAATTGAATTCGTCAACATACCGTTTAGTTGTAATGTGTAAGTTGATTGAAAGTGCATGCATGTAAATTCTGTTTAGGAAACTCCATATATCTAAAGCTGGAAAATTTTATAATACCACCAAATTAAAGGCCCTTTCCTTGCTCAGTCTTTATAAACTCTACACTGTTAGATTCCAAAGGATAAAAGGTTAAAAGAGCCTCTTTGTATTTTTGTTGGGGTGTTTAAGATTACATCTTGTCCTCTGAACATAGTTAACTTGGGTTTTGAAAAACAGGTTCAACTCCATGCTTGAGCCATACTTTGACTTACCTTAATATTTATTCATTAATATTTTATTCACTTGCTAAATGTAACAAGCTTGACTTTAGATATTTTATTAAATTTTTCTCTCTCATTTTCTTGTTCTCCTATCTTCCCTTATCTCTTCCTCATCTTCCAATTATTTTTCATAAATAAAATACTGAGGAACCTTTTAATTGTGACTCTATACCAGTGATAATTTTTTATAATATATTTATATTTATATTAAAATTAAGTTGATTATTCACATACATTTCACATTTTAGATAAAACAATTAATAATACACGTCTATATCATTATATCTTACTTTTAAAAATATTTTACTTCAAATTAACTCAATCATGGTGTACTTAGTCTTAATCGCACTTAGACCCTACATTATCAAATATCTTCGGGTTTAAAGCCAAATTTAGGTCTAAAAATTTGATCCAACCATACTTTAGGACCTCGTGGAAGACAAATACAATTTATCTACCCACCAAAAAACCCTAATATTGTGAAAACTTAATGCGAATTATTCAACATCACGTTGTTGCTGTGGCAATGTCTCTCATGAGACAAAGGATATCAATTTAAAACATTGAATGTTTCAGAGTAAGTGCTTAGTAATAAACCTTGATTGTGTTTTATAGTTTAACCTTGAATGTTTCAGATTTTATGTGATCTTGCTAATATCCAAAAGGGCTGAACACAGCCTACTTCTGCTGTTTTTTCACACCGTGATTCACTGAATCGTATCTCAATATTGAATTCTGAGAATGGAATATTGAACTCGTCAGAATAGGGAAGGGTCCACAAATAATATATTTTAAAATGCAGCTTCTTATGATAGCATAACAAGTAATTTGGAGTTTGGAGTCTTAAAATGTGTATTAAATACTTTAAAAAGTAAATTTTCATCCAAATCCTATTGTTTTCTTTAAAATTACCTGTGGTTTTTCCTCTTTTTAAAAACTTCTTATTTGCATTCACTGACCAAAGTTTAAAAATAAAGTTTTGGTGGTATATTATTCTCTTTTGTGAAATAAAAAAAATATTTTATCATAAATATGGGACTATTTTTTTAATTGTAAAATATATTTTTAAGATATATATATATATATATATATAATATTATATCAATTTTTATAATTATTGTAAAAACAAAATAAAATGAAAAAAAAATGCATAAACATATTATCTTAAAATCGAGATATGAGAAGGAAGTGACAACCTTAATCATTGCCTTTGGTTTTACGATTATATTTTAATATTGGATGATCCATCAATCTTCATTTCATTTTGACAATAATTATAAGTTGCAATAAGATAAGAAATAAGCATTATGAAAATCTGAAATAAAAAAAACTAATTAATTTTAAGGGGGTATTTGATATATGATTTTTTTTTAAAAAAATTTATAAGTTTTTAAAAGTTATTAATATTTTCTAAAATATATTATGTAAATTTTTTTAAAATATTTTAAATATATCAAATATATTTTAGAATTCTTAAAAATAAATTTCCTAAAATATATAACACGAAACACTCCTCCAACTTCAAGTTGCGAATGAGTAAAAGATCACAATTGAGATCACATTTTTTTAGCAAATTCAAAATTTCCATTATGAATAATTCATGCTTTTTTCTACTTTAATTACTTTATTGTTTATCAAAGATTAATAATATATTTTTATAAATGATTTTTTTCAAAAAATAAAAAATAAAATAATTTATAAAATAAGTATCTTTACTTTTTTTTAAAAAAATAAATCAATTATAAAAAATACATTAAATATATATTTTGAAAATAATAATTTGTAGCATTTTCTATTGCAACTAATCATCCTTGGTTCCACGTGAAAACATTTAAAACTTTATTAAAACTATAATGTTAAATACGTGGCCGTCGTTGACAAATCAATAGAATATTTAACGGTTTTGATTTCACTCACGAGTATTTGAAGCGGCCACACACGAATCACAAAGTGTGTGGCGGTTTCGTGTGGGGTGGCACACACATCAACATGTGACTCAAAATCTTAAAAATCGTGGAACACATGCACAATTTCTACAACACAACAACGCTATTCGTCACTTTCTCTCTACATCCATTACCCTTTCTCCGCCGAATTTTCTTTTGTTCTTTACGTGTTCCTCAATTTCTCTCTTCCCTTTCGCATATATATATATAATATACTCTTCTCTCCATACCTTCAACGTTATCTTTGCTTTCCCTATCTCTCTCTCTCTCTCAAACTTCAAACCCTTTTGAAAAAGAAAACAAAAGATGAGGAGAAACTTCAACTTGGAACTTGCCCTTTTTCCTCTCTGCGATTCTGACCACCGCCACCAACACCACATGTAAGCAACTTTGTTTTCTTTTTCTTCTATCTCTTCTCTTGTTTCTGTTTGTGATAGAATATGTATATATATAATGAATGTATATCAACTGTCTGTCATTTTGGGATATTGATTTCTTTGTTCTTGTTCTTGTTCTTTTGTTTGTCCAATGAAGGGTTGAAGAAGCCAGGGAGAGTCCAATGCAAAATTACCTCCATCACCACCACCAGCAGGAGCAGCAACAGCCGTTGACCATTTTCTATGATGGGAAGATTTGTGTTGCAGATGTTACGGAGCTTCAGGTATATACATTTATGTTGATATTATATTTTTAACTTTTTTTCCCTTTATCGTTTTTGTGTGGCCTATGTTTTCGGGTATGCTATAGAAGTTGTAATTATTGTGTAGGTATATGTAACACCTGAAAAATTGTTATTTGTTATTGTTGATAATTTGATTCTCCGCAATGTAACGAGATACATTGAATATAGTATGGTAAGCCACAATGGACTACGGATTCCCCGTCACTCATCTAGGAAGCTATGGACGTAATTGATATTGTATTTGGTAGGTCTTCGTAAAACAGAAAGCGATATTTATTGCTACTAAGACTCAACAGATAAGAATCGGTGACTTATCACAACCACCATGAGTAGAGTAGAATATATGAGCTTTTCTAAGTTACTTTATCTTAAATAAACTAATTTAAATTTTTGTGAAAAATTAACTAAAAAAATTGGTATATGTAATTTTTAATCTAATATTTTAATTTTATTAATTTATTTATGATAAGATTATTTATCTTGTGAAATAACTTAGACAAACTCATAAACACAGACATTAGAAATTTCATGGATCAAATTAAGAGGTTAATCCAATGATAAAGGAGGTATAGTCTCGGCTTTAAGTATTTTGATTTGAATTTTAGATCAACTAGTATGAGAATTAATTTGAGTAAATTTATATTTTTGTTCTCTAAAACAATTGTTTTAAATTTTAAGAATAAATTAAGGAGACGTATATTTAAAAGGATGTAAATGAGAGGGTATTTATATGATTGTTTAAGAAGTGCCTTAATCTCAACTATTACATACAGGCTGCATCTAGTCGTATGAAACCGCGTGGTACGGATATTTTACCGGAGAGAAAAATATAAACATTTTAGAAAAGATATGGTAGTTGCCGACATGTTGGTGATAAATCAATAGAACAAAATTTACGTTTATTCAAAAAGAGAAAGGAAGCGGTAGGTGATACGTTCGAGTTTGATGTGAAACTGGATAAGTTTGGCGTTTGTAAATATCTTCGAATTTTATTTGAACCTTGTCAAGTTTCCTAGAAGCTTCTGAATTCGAATCCCTAGACTAGTTCTTTGACTTCAAAAATTGCACGCAACTAGTGTTCACCAATCAGTGTATTCTTAGTGCTTGCTTTTCTTTTTGCAAGTCGCCTTATTTATACTTTTACAATAAAGACAGAAACCAAAAGGGTCAATTTTATCTGTGCATATAGACCACTGTTTTTTTCATGTGCTATTAGGTCAACCATTTGTATTTAGAATAGGGATAAAAATGTTTTATTGGTATGAAGCAAAGAAAAATAAGTGGGTTCATGTGAATCTCATGCAGGCCAAATCCATTTTAATGCTTGCTAATAAAAGAATGGAGGAAAGAGTGAAGACACCAACTGGGTCAGCGCCATCTTCACCAACCATAAGGCATTCTCATAATCAATTGAATAGCCCTGGCCTTTCTATGAGAAGATCGTTGCAACGGTTCCTCCAAAAAAGAAGGCATCGAACCCAAGAGGCGTCGCCATACAATCACTAGGTAGATCAGTTAATTATGAAAAGGAGGAAGCATATGAAAAGTTGTTTTGTTGCCTGACGAGAGATTGTGCAGAAACAGTTCTCTTTCTTTCTTTCTTTCTTTCTTTCTTTCTTTCTTTTCTTTTGAAATCCCTTTAGGTTTACTGGATTTCTTCACACTTTTTGTTTACCTTGAATTATTATTCATCCTAAAAGTACTTTTTCACAGGTTGTAAATTCCAACATTGTAAAATTTCTTTCGATCCTTAATTTAAATTTGTTTATTAACTACTAGAGTTATTTTCATGCTAAACATCAATTTGAGCGGTCAAAATGTACAGTCAACGGGTTCAAATAAGTTGGACTTGTTTAACCCAAAATAAAAAGGAAATTGCATTTTTATTGCTCAAACCTAGTCCTATGCGGGTTATGGGTTTCTTCTAAATATATATTTTTTTTATTATTTCTTTGCTAAAAAGTCACCTCTTTTACAAAATGGACTTATAAAATATGAATTGACATGACTATTAAACTAATGTAATTTCTTGATTAATATCACATTTCTTTCTTTCTTTTATCTCGTTCATTATTTTGGTTTAAGAATTAACTATTCTTTTAACACTGAAAAATCATTAGATAAAAAGTATTTTATACAATAAAAATATACAAGCAATATTTTTTAAATAGTAGAATATAAAAAGTTGGCATTTTTAAGAAAAAAATTAATAAAAATTATATATATTAAATTTTGTGTAATTTAGATATTTGTAAGGATATTATTTAAATTTTAATATTTATTTATATATTAAAATTACTACTAAAAACAGGCTTTATAGATAATATAGACAAATTTTGTTGTCTTATGAATATTCAATTCTTTAAAAAAAATTCGTTTATAAATTTGTCTATAATATAGACGAATTTTTTTGTTTATAATTTAAAAATTAGTATAATTTTTAGAGTGGGAGTTAAAGTAGAAAAAATTCGTTTGTTCGTAAGTATAACTATTTTTACCAATTTTTTGTCTGTTTATTTATAGTTAGATTTTTTTTATAATGATCTTTGGCAGATTTATAGATACAAAAATATGTCTGTAATTAAACTCCTTAGAAATATTGTTTCATTAAACTATTTACAGACATAATCTGTGTGTAATGTGTAAAATTCATCAAAATTGTACCTACTTATTCTTCTTCCTCACTTTTCATTATTTCTTCTTTCTCTCGTCTCTTTATCTCTCTTTAGTATTATCAGTTTTTTGGCCTTAGCGAGTGGTTAAAACATCCATTTAGAAAATAATTTGTATCATTGTGTTCTTGATACGATATTCTAATTTTTAATCAGTTTAGTTTTTTAATTTTTAATGTATAATAGAGACTTAATATTTCTAAGATAGAGTTATAGGACTAAAGATTGTATGACTGTGAAATGGACATAGAGGTCCTTTTTCAAATCTGATTATTATGTTCCCGAATTTGATTATTATGTGTTGTGAGGTTGTTTGTGCTTGCGGAGATTGTATAATATGCATGTTATAGAGTTATAAAGGGATGTGCTCTATAATGGTTTAAGATTGTAATATATATGTTTTTTATGCATTGATTAATAGATTGTTATATGATATATAGATTATGTGTGAAGGAAATTAAGATTTTTATATTAAGTGTAAACCAACATAGTTAATTTTGTATTGTATAAAAAGTTATTAAAAAGTGTAAATATACAAATTTAATACTTTGTGTTGATGAATTTTAATTCATAAAATATTGCTTTTGTTAAAAAGAAAGACTTCATTTTATAAAGGGGAGAAACTAAAATTTTTTGAGTTTTGAAAAACCAATGTATGTTAAATGCCTACCAAAATAATTAGAAGTTAATATGGTAAAGGAATTAATATAATTACTGGTTTGAGACTAAATTTACATAATATAATTTCGAATATGGATGTGATTCAATATTGGAGATAGAGAATGAGAGATAGATTTGGATGATTCTCTTAAAAAAATGTCTTAACAATTTAAGACTTGATGTTGTCTTGTTTATATTATTTTTTTATTTGTTATTAGCAGATCAATCATGTAATTTTGTATTTTAACACTCTTTTTTAAGTCTAGCTAAACTTGAACTAATTATGATTTTTATTTTTATTTTTTTTCTTTAGTTTGGGCATGTAATTTTAAAATTTGGACCTTTACCTCAATTTTTTTTTTTGAGCTTCTACCTTTAAGTTTGAACCTCTTTTTATTCATCTTTCATCTTTTTTTAGATCTAAGCTCTTTTACAGTATTAGAAGTTTGGGAATACAAGCCTATCCAATATTAGTAGATATAAAATGAATTGTAAGTTTGAGTGATCTATTTGTTTAAAGTAGGATGTCTTATAAATTAACAAATCATTTTATGTATTTTATATTTAAAATAATTATCACTTTTAATTTTATGTTAATAAATAATAAGATTAGTAGTAATTTATTTAAAAATATATATACTACAAAAATCAATTTAAAAAGAGTACATAATGTTGTTTCAAACTTACGAGTACATTAATAAACACTTTTATTTAAAATATCTTATAATTTAAGATTCAAAAACTCTTGATTCCATCAATTGCGGGTTGAATCTATAAATTAGGTGAAAGTGGAATACTTCAAATTCAAGAGCCTAAGAGTTTTATATAACTCTTTCAATTAAAAAAATATATATGAATAAAGATCTAAATAATAAAAATTATTAATCTTATATAATATTTAATTTGTTACTAACTCACCTGTTCACCTTTGATATTAAATCGGTAAAAATAGTGATTCTTGATAGTTCAACGACAACTAAATTTAATAATTAAATAATTTTTATACTATATAAAATAATAAATTAACGTAAAAAATAATTTAATATTAAACCAAAAAACCCATTATATGTTCGTGTAATATTCTTTTTGAATAATCACTTGATTTATCATGTGTGCAATTAGTAGGTAGGCCGTGTTTGGTACTAACGACGACATCTTAAGTTGGGTTTAATTATCTTTAACAATACTCGTCTTGAAGTACTTGCTGCCTGGGTGTGAATTGATTTAATTTTCCATATATCCTTTTCTTGTAATAAAAAATAAATTTTCTATAACTTAATTTCAACACCGAAATGTTGATTAAATAAGTCAAACTCAATTAATTAATCATCTATTATCTTTCAGATAGAAAAAAGAAAAACAACCATACACCTACCATAAAACTATATATGTATATAAGATTGCGTAATATACAATTTGTCAATGCACTTTTAAATTTCTTAAAACTAAACCAAAAACATGTGGCTGAATAATTAACCAGAGATAATTTTATTGAATTAAGCATTATAATTTTATCAAATATTAAACACTGACAAAGCTAATAACGAATTTTAAAACATCGGCAACTGATGTTTTCTTTCACGGAGCAGTACAAAACTTATTATTAAGGTTTGTATAAAAGGTTCTTTGAGAAGGAGAGTTTTCGAACAAAGGAAGAGATAAATTTTATATTTTAAATAAATATATTTAAAATTAATATTTTTTAAATTAAAAAAATTAATTGATATATTAATATAATTTTAATATATTAATCATATATTTATTATTATAAATAATATATGATTTTTTAGTTTAAAATTAAAAAATATATCTTATTATTTCTTCTGTTCTAAAATTAGAGATAATTGCGTACTTTTAAGTACGAAAAAAAGAAAAAAAATATTCACGCAATATTTATCTATGTTTGAAATTTTTTATATAAAAAAGAATATTGATAAATTCATTGAAACCTTTCTTATTTTATATTTTTAAGTTTTTTAAATTTAAAACGTTCGTTATTAACTCATTTCTTTTTTTTTTTCTTCTTTTATCTTTTAAACTTTTTTTTTTCATCTTTCTCCAAATTCTCCAAATTTCTAACTTGTAAAAATAAGTTCATTATTTAGTTAACTAAATGTATGTTTATCTAAACTTATTTTGAGGAAATAATTATTTAATTTTATTATTTTTAAAATATAATATTAATCAATTATTTCTTTATTTTTTTAACAATTCTAAACACAAAAATTCAAATAATATTGTACAATTAAAATTAATTTAATAATTTAATTATTAAATAAAAATTATACATGTTAAATAGATATATGGTTATCTAATTATGAATTACTATAAGAATTTATTGATTTTTACAATAATTAATATAAAATATTTTACAGAGACGGTATAGCAAATTATATATATGATCGAATTTAAATCTCCCCAAAACTTAAATTGTTAGGTGAAAAGACTTACAAATAATTTTTATATCTAAACCGCTATTTGTTTATGCATGGGTTGGGTTACTGGTTATAATGTGATGTTATGTTGACTGTCATGGCCCAATGTTAGTTTTTGCGCATCATTCTAGATTTCTAGTGTGTTTATCTCTTTAAATTATGTGCTCATTAATTTTTTTTCACTTAAGTTTTTATTCTTTTATTTATTTATTAAATACTCTAAAAATTATTATTATTTATTTAAACTTTATTAGTAATTAATTAAGTTGTTTGGTATAATATTAATAAAATTTAAATAATGATATGAAACTTATAATTTTATTTCTTTTGTATTAGTAAATCTCATTTTTAAAATATAAAATCATATGAATCAATTTAAATAAATAACAGAGAAAATAAATAAAAGTAAAAATATTTTTACAATATTAAATTAAAAAATAAATAGAAAAATACAAAAAATTATTTAAATTATTTTAAATGGTCAATAATAATTTTTATTTAAATATTTATTGTATAAAAATATAATAAATAATTTTTTCTTTCAACTGTTTAATATAAACAAAATCGTAAATTACATATATATTAACAGCTTTGACACCAGTTGCTAAGTGCTAACAAACGAGCGAACGCCAAAATGGGCCATTGTAGTAATTAGAGACTCTGAAGACACGACTTTCCGTATGCGAGTCATGCGACATGGAACTATGCCCTCATATACAGTCAAAGATGGCAGCAAGGCTACGTCCAACTTTTGAACCACACCTTTTCTTCCAAAATCTCATAATTGCAGGAAATTGTTTGCCTTCAAATAGAACAATCAAACTCATTAAAATCATAATGATTTTGGAATGAATAAAAAAAAGTCAATATGTAAATATTACAAACCTTAAAAAATTATCTATATTGCACCTTGGTGATCCACTTATTCAATATTTCAACATGTTTTATGGGTATTGCGACATTTTCTAGTAATCAAAGTGATTATAGATGACATTGATGTCAGTGAAACAATTTAGCAGCACAACAGCTAGATATGAAGCATTATCATGCAACTATACTGAAATGAGATAAAACAAAAATGCAAGGATTTAACTAAAGTTCTCCCTCCAAAACAAAAATGGTCCCAAAGAATATTTCTGTGTGTTCCTTTCAGTTATTTTTGAGTGGAGGGTGACAAGTAAAATTTTTGAAGTGATAAATTTGAAATTTAATTATAAAAAAAATTATTTAAATCAGTCTATTTTAGCTGTAACTAATAAATTTTCGATGTGGTGGGGTGTGGCCTAACGGATCAATTATTGTTGAAAAAGCTGAAACTTGTGTCTCCGAAGATCTTGTAACCTGGGAGCATATCTTGTGCAGTCCTAGGTTACAAGATCTTGGAATCTGATATTTGAGACGAAGGGACAACGTATGCAGACAAGTAACATGGGGCTAACTAACTATATGATAATACATATTATCAGCATATAATGGAAGATCACATTGCTGATTAGTGATTATGTATTATTTAGCCTCTTCTGAAACATTTAATCTGACCTTTAACTTCAAATTGTCAAAGCTATTCTTCAGATAATATGTCTTGGGTTCAAATTAGTGAGGAGAAACTGTTACATTATCTAAGATCTGGTTCATATAATTCTCTGTGGATGATAGAAAGTACAATATCTCTGACTGGTGTAAAAATATGATATTATTAGTAGAAATTTGGCCCTAATTCACTCCTAAAAAAGCTAGGTAAAAGAGATTACCCAAACTTAATAAAGAGTATTTGGATTCTTCTTAGCTAACGTAAGAAATCTTAATTATTGTTGGATCTCCAACAAATTTCCTGTCTCTAAACCTTGACAATAAAAAGAAAAAATGCTGTATAGTGAAAAAAGTTTATTAGAAAACACTAGGCTACCTCAATTCATCTTGAATTCATAGCGAATGTTTTAGAAAAATGTGAATTAGACTGAGCTTGAAGTAACAGCAGAGAGAATCACGCTCATCTCATCTTCTGGTCTACTTCTTTTGCAATTAATAAGACAAATTATATGTAACTTCTTCTAGTTGCAGGATACAAGTGTACTGCTTAAGCTTTCTATCCAGACACAAAAGTTACTTCTCCTTCAACTAAATGCAAGGAAGCTCCATATTATATCAATCCATACATTTCACTTAAGAATGACATAATTAGTTATATATTAAGTATAATATGTTGAGATGTGCGAACAAAGTCTCACAGTGAGGAAGGATTAAGGACATATAAGTATGGTAGATTTCCATTAGTATGAAACCTTACTATGGTATAATTTCTCTATTAGAAGGGTAATTCTGGATAGGGTAAAGGTATTTTTCTTCTTTTCCCAACATAACACCTTATAACAAATTACTGTATGCAATCACAATATCCTAATATAACAGCCTAACGGCCGGTAACCAAGTTTGAGATCAAACACAGCTTCAGGGTGAGCTATATTATGTGGCAGTCTACTTTGGAGCTCAATACGTTTATTGTCATGTCTACTTTTGCTTACATCAATAAGAATACGTGGTCAGCACCTATTTCAAGTAAACCAAATGGATTTCCTTAAAAGAGCTAACGCCTAACAGAGAGAAAGATTAAGGAAAAGAAGTATAATAAAGTAGCAATCTCAGAATATCTGAATGTGTCCTTGGTGATTAAAGGAAAGGCAAACCCAGAATTTTAATAAAAAAATTTCTGGGAGGAAGAACAGATAAATGAGATGTCAGATAAAAGCAGAATACAGAATCCTTGAGAATGCATTTAGGCTCTCTTTCAAAGTCCACCGTTTCTCTGTCTGGTCCCTTATGAATATGTTAATTCATGAATATATTAATGAATATTCATTTAAACCATCTTTAGTATTGTTTTCCCTTGCTATTGCCTCGAACTTGGCAACATTAGTAATTTCCATATTCCCAATATTACTATGCTACCCGAAGATCTTCTTCTGAAGGTGATTTCAAAATTCATTGGTTGGATTTCCACCAAAATGAAATATTGGGTCAAGTGATACGACCAGAGGTAAATCAACATTGTGCATAAATTAACCACCTCCACAGTTGGTGTGTTATGGAGAAAAAGGGAAAATTATGATACCCCTTCGAATTCAAGATGTATTAATCTCCACCAAATGAAATGTATTTGCACAAAATTAATGTGTAAATTTGTAGTATAGAAGTGGTTCTAATTTGCCCACTCAAATTCTGGCAAGTGAACCAAAACTAGATTTTTATGATATTCGTTCTATCATAGTTCAAAGTTATGCTTTAATTTATTATATGCTTTTTGAAGATGACATGAACTGAGAAACCAGCTACATAGAAGAATGAAAATAATAGCAAAAGTTGAAAGTAAAGAACTAACCGTAGTGAATGAAAAATGAGACAGATTTACGGTGAGGGAGGTGGATAAAGGAAACCGCGGAGTGTATGGCAATTGCAAGTGATCAGACTCCAAAATTTACAAATAATGTCCCACAACTTGACCAAATAAACTGTCTTAAATGAACCTAAAAAATAAAATAAAATGATAACATATGGTAACAAATATGCCTTGTCAAAATCGGTACACCCCATTTTGTTCTATTTTTTTATAAGAAAAAAAATCTATTTTGATTAAGTTTAGGGTTAGATTGCAATATGGTTGTATTGGACGTGTAACTGGGAAGGATAGATTTGTTAATATATATAAATTCACCTTTTGAATAAGAATTTGATTGTATTCTAATATTATTACCTCAATTAGATGAAGGATCAAATAATCATATAAGTTATATTATTAATTATATTATTAGTAATTTTATATTAAATAAGAGTTTTATTGATTTAACAATTGAATTATGACTATATATTTTCTTAATTATTTATATCAAAATTTGATAAAATTAAATAATTAAAAAATTATAAGAAAATAGTTTATATATATATATATATATATATATATATATTTAATATGTTAATTTTGTAGATTAATCTAAAACTTTGGAAACATAATTTATACAATAAAATTTTTTAATTCAATATATTTTTAAATAGTATCATTATTAGTATAACTTATATTTTGATCCTTATAATAAAATTAAATTTACATATTTGTATTAATGATATGATTTTATTTATTTATTAGAGCTTATAAACATTTACTTTTATGTATTATTTAATTTTAAACATGTTTAACATATGATTTGGTGAAAAATAAAAATGTGCACAAGAACTAATCTCCCTAGTGCCTGATGGAAGAGTAGGGCCAGATATGTATTTTTCATTTATGGAGAAAATAAAAATGGATTCAAACGGATTTCTTTTAGAAAAAATGGGTGGGCAAAACCCGCCCCACCCGTTGCCATGTTTACTGAAAAGTCAATTTCGTGGTCCTTGCAGCGTGAATACATAAACTGAGAATTGGTCATAAAGATTAACGGTGTGTTTGGATTGCATGGGAGGTGTTTATTGACTTCTGGTTCAATATTGTGACACATATGGGAATCTGGTTTATTGGGCTTCTCATTTTATTTTAATATGTAGACTTTGAATTGAAATATCTGCTATGGCCGAAAATAAAATAATATATGCAGTTAGTGTATTTCCATTACTATATGGACCCAAAAAGAAAATCCCATGATCGTGCTTTTGTGGAAATTTGTAGTCAATGCTGATAACTACCTCAGTATTGCCAACTCAATTGGACCAAGTAGCATGACTCTAATACGTCTCATCAGCTTAATTTGTAGCAGCTGTGACAAAATCAAAAGTAAATACTTATTATAATTATCTCACTAGTATTAGATTTATCTGCAATGTGCCACTGTATAAGTATTTCTCTAGTAATAATTAATTTCATTAAAAAATAACTTTGATGTTTTTTACGTCAAAATAGAAGCTGTATTAGTCAGGGCCTGAGAGAATGTCCAAGGCAATGGCACCCAGATTAATTTTCGTATTATTTTAGGTAAATTGATGACCAAAATATTTTAGATAAAATAAAAAGTATAAAAAATATAACAGTACTTTTAAATTTATGGACAAAAAAATAATACTTTTTAATTTATAAAATATTTTGAAATTTTATGATAATTAAATACTTTTAGAATATCAAAATGCAACTTTATTATTTCTCTGAAAATTAAAAAACTGTATATTTTAAAAAAGATATCCTGCATCAATCTAAACATGCCCTAAGTTGAATGGACCCAGTTAAAAACAAATAAAAAAAGAATTGGCATGTATTGGTGCTCGGTTTCTCATAAATCCAAAGGCCTACACAACCAGTAATAGTCACTAGGTTCAGACAAAATTTGCATGCTTACAAGGATGACAATGACAACACCATTCCTCTCATGGTACTGGAAAACATGCATTAAGTGCTGCCTTGGTATGTTTTGAATAACGAGCAAAGACATCATCGTATCTTGCGGCTCCTCAAACAAGTTGGATACTATATACAGAGGGTGAAGTTGAGTCCCCACAAAATAAAAATAGAATAGAGGGAGAAGGAGATTGAAATACCAATTTGTTTGATTAACTTTTTTACTAACTTCATTGCAACATATTTTGAATTAATCGCCTATCATTTGGTATTGTTCTATATTTTAAGTTGCTAGGCCATGTGGTACATATGATAAAAATCTAGCATAAATTATAAATTAATTTACAAATATTATTTAAAACAAAGCTCCAGAACACATAAGTAGATGTGATAGAACAAGGGAAAATGATCTATGCACTTTTTTTTCTTTGTTCTATTCTATACTACAACTACTCATTGTGTTAAAACTTTGCAAGCTACGGGTAAAAATTGGGAATTTCTTGCAAGATTCTGTGTCTCCCTCCCTACCAAAACAAGTATTATGGTGTGCATCTTTTTTATGTTGGCAGCAACAAGGGTGCTTGCACCTTGCAGCATGCTCATTTGTATCAGAGGCCGACAGTCCTGTTTCCTGTATTCCTGCTACTCTTTCTAAAGGCTGCTACAGACAACAACAGTAGGAGATAGGACTTCGGAGTTAAGAGCTAGCTTTTCCCAAAAGATACAAAAATCAAATACAAAAGTCCAAATGTGAATATTTTAGTTTCACCATCGCATGCATATGCAGTCCTATTAATTGAGACCACTAATAATCTGCCAGTAACCATTACACTGCATGGAACTTTATATGAATAAATTTCCATTGACATCACCTACAAGAACTACCTATCAATGTAACTTTAATGTGAGTAAGTCTAAGTACCCAAATGTAGATATGAGTAAAGCATTTTATAAAGTACATTCTCAGTTTCACAAAAACAGAATAAGGAAACTAAGGATAAAATTTAAAACCAAGGTAACAAGGATGGCTAGTAAATCCAGCCATGATGAACTTGAATTTATGTTGCTTTCGTACAAAGATGGCTTAATTCCTGCTGGATCTTCTGGTGGTCCTTCAGCAAAAGGTTTTCTATTTCTGGGTCTCATGCTCAGACAAGAGGGGATATCCAAGTATGAAGACAGGTTCTTCTTGGTTGGCTGATCACTGATGCAAAGTTCACTGTTTCCTCTTACATCCAACCTTTTACCAAGCTTTCCAATGAAGTCATCAGGAAGCTGAAGAACTCCATTCAGCCTATTGTGGCTGATATTCAGTTGATCTAAGTTTGGGAGTAGGCCTAGATTTGGAGGAACTGATCCGCTGAGGCTATTGTTATCTAGGGAGAGAGCTGTGAGGTTCTTCAAGGATGAGAATGAGTTAGGTATGGAGCCAACCAATCCACACCCTGAGAAGCTCAATGATTTTAGCTTGCATAGGTTCCCTACAAAGGAGGGTATCTCTGCTTTGATGGGGTTGTCATCAATGAGTAAATATTCTAAAAGCTCCAAACTTGACAATGTTTCAGGAATAGGCCCGCTAATAAAATTATGACTCAGATCAAGCAAGACTAACCTCTTAAGCTTTCCTAAATCAGGAGGTATTTTTCCAGTAAATTTGTTTGAGCTCAAATCCATCTTCTGGAGAAGTTGAAGTTGTCCAAGAGAACAAGGCAGGTTCCCTTCAATTTCATTCCAACTGAGGTCCAAAATGGTCAAACTTTTCAAACCTCCAATTTCCTTGGGAATTTCACCACTAAAGTTATTATAACTCAGGTCAAGTTGCTCTAGACAAGCCAAACCACCGATATGTGAAGGTATGTTTCCTTGGAAGCTGTTCTGGGACAGACTCAACACTCTAAGACTTGTAACTCCACCCAAACCGGGAGGTATTTCTCCAGAGAGAGTTGGGTTAGACTGCAAAGCCAGGTGTTCCAAGGCAGAGAAAGGACCAAAGAGTGTTGTGGGAAGGGTCACTGGTGAGGCAACAAAACAGTTAAAAATTGAAAGGGTCTTCAAATAACTTAGCTTCAGCAAGGATTCAGATAAATAAGCAGAAGGTTTGCAAGGCGGGGAGAGTATATCAGGACCAATGTGGATCTTTGTGACATGAAAAAGAATAGGTGGGTCAGTGCTAACTTCACACTCAACACCAGGCCATGGAGTATCTGTACATGGTTGAGGGTGTGCTTGAGCCCACTCTGGGTCATCCACAAGAGCATCCATCACGTCAAACAACCCCAACAACTCCTCCTTTTCCATCACCATTTCTTCCCCATTTACATTGCTTCTCATTCCCATCATTTCACCAGCAAACAAAAGCAACCCAACAAGGAGAAGAGACAGAGAAGCCATTTGAGACAATGGCATTGGATGAGTAGTAGGTAGAAGCAGAAGCTGGGACAAACTCACAAAATGGAATAGCAAAATTTGTTGGTTTGGAGGGAAATGAAAAGGGCAAGATCCACTTTCTCAATATAACAAGCTTTCTGGAATTGTGTTGATGGCAAAGGAGAAGAATGTAAAGGTAACTCCAAGCATCTCATTTTCTGTGTCAGCAGTGAAGGCTGCAAAGATAAAGCCAAAGCTGTCGCCTCTGGCTTCCCAAATTTGCAATTGTGAGTATGACAGTGTTAGTTTACATGGAAAAGGGAGTGAGATGGGGAAAGACAAAGGGGTTACTATAAAAGGTAATGTGCACTTACATAACAGTTAAATGGTTAATGCATATCAATGTAGCATTGATAAGACATCACTTGGTGCCCCTGCCATGACAAAAGTAAAGTAAAGGGTGGCATGATCAACTGAGACCGATACCTACATTCTTTCTCAGCTCAATCCATCAACTTATGCAAGCCGAACCTTTTTCAGTTTTTGAAATATTCTCAAAAATAAAAAGAAAGAGAAACTTCATTGCCCAGTGCCAGTTAGCTACTATCTTCTAAACTTTTCATAGTGTACTATTATGACCCATTGCCCCCTTTGTCCTACTGAACTTAGTTTACCAATTTTATTATTTTTGTTAAAATTCTGATATAAAGTTTTGAACGTAACAAATCACAAACAGAAATAGACTACTAGGACCACTGTGTTAAGCTACTTTTTTCTCTCTCTTTTGATTCTGTTTTTCATAGCTCATATAGTCTGTTCTTTTTCTTGTTTTTACAATTCGGCACAATGATTTAAATAATATATATTTTAAAAATAATTACCAAAATAAAATAAAATAAAAAGTTATTTCCAGTCTGGGGCAAATTTTTGCCACGTAAGCACCGGTTTCGTATTTAAATTAAATGAAATCATTTTATAAATTTTTTATTTAATAGTTTTGCTCTAAATTTGGACGAAATGTATAAAATTTGAATTACCCTTTCCCGCTTAGCGACACTTGGGAATTACGTAGTTTCGTCCCTGAGTCAGACAAAAAAGTTATTTCGCGATGAAATTACGTGATTGGCCCACGTGTCGGCGAAGCTACGGACCCTGCGCCTCCCTCTTTCCTTCTCCCCTCCGTGTTTCAGTTACGCAAATCCTCCATTTTTTTCGTTCATTAAGCTGAGAGGGTCCTTTGTTATCATTTGAACGTGATTGGTGAGTGAGATTGATAATCCATTACAGAATCGTGTCTAGATCTGCTTGGTTTGCAGCGATTGAAGGTGGTTTTGACTGAAAGATTAAGGAAGTTGAGAGTACTGCATAGTTTACCGTTAACGAAGAAGAAAGATAGTCGGAGGTCTCCGGAAAAACGCCGCCGCCATCCTGACAACTTGCTGGTGTAGTGGGAGTCCTCTGTCGCTGTAAATCGCCACCTCCGACACCAGAAATCACCACATCGGAGCTGAAAATCTACCAGATTTTTCCATTTTTAATATAATTTTTTTTATGTTTTTATAAATAAAAATACTTGTAATGTAATAAAAAAATTTATTGTGACCAAAATTTTTATAGTAAAAATAATATTAAAAATAAAAATATTATAACTAAATTTATTAAATTTTTAGCCAGTAAAAAAATTAACAGAAATATTGTAATTAAAAATGTAATTGAAATAATTTTTTTTAATTTTATAAATATTAAATAATAACTATAATTTTGTAAAATTAAATATTTGTAGTAATATTTAGTATAAAAATTAAAGTTGCATGTAGAATTATTATAGTAATTTGATGTATAAATTTCAAAACAACTAAAAATTAATTTAAAAAAATTAAATACAGTAATAAATAGTTGAATAAAATTTAGAATAGGAAAATAAAAAATAATTATAAATGATAATTAGAAAATAATGTATAAAACTTATAACATAAATTTGATTTTGATTTATATTACTATAAAATTAAAGTAGACAATAATTATATTAAAATTATAGTAGTAAATATTTGACTATATAAATAATTGCAACCCAAAAATATAATTAATATTGGTTAATAATGATGAAATAATAAATTTAGTTATGTAATTTAAATTATTAGAGTAATATTAAATAACTTTGAATAAAAAGTTTTATTTATATAATTTAATTTATGCTGAAACAATAAAATTAGTTACTAATAATATAAGATTAAATTATTATTACAGTGTTACTTATGAAATGAGATTAAATTATTTTAAATAAATAATATAATTGTTAATGAAATAAGAAAAATAGTTATCTAAAATAAATATTTAAAGGCCCAAATTGGTCAACTTAGTTTTAACTCCGAGTATATGAGGTAGTACAGAGTTCACACCAGATGTTGGATGACAAGAGATGCCGCTATCTCATCATTACTTGTAAGTGTACATGACTTTACATGATTATCAGTTCCACTTGAAGGTATTGCTGTTGTTAACATACATTTATATTGTTTTGTAAGGTGATGGTCTTAAGAGAGCCCACTACTTCATGACTAATGGCCATGATTCTTTCACCTTTGACGAGATGCGTGACCTGTGTCAATCTATGCTAGTTTTGAAGAATGATTTGAACTGCATTATGGAACCTATTTCTTCATCTGAGCCTCTGATACAGAGTGGCAATACTGAGGACCCAGTAATAGATGTCGGTCTTCCTAGGATTAGTAAGGAAGGCTGCAGATTACAGCGTAGACGCATAGAGGTACAAGCGACAGACTGGTCTCTTCCACTCATACTTGAGCTTCCTGATGGAGTTTTCTACGTTCTCTCACAATTTCCTTTCCACACACAGCCTCTTATTGCAGCTACATATTTCACTCCTTTCAAGCCACCCAACATCCAATGACCCCTCTATCACCATTCATCAGTACAGACTGTTATATCCTATGCCCATCACCATTTATTACTCCGCCTCCATATGATGCAGGTATCCTTCAGTCACCACAAGCACCAGCCATTGCGGTTGATACTGGGACCTCATATGATACCTCATACAGTCATGGAATAGATTTGAATGCTGACTTTGAAGCAGTCTTAGATGTTCAACCTCTAGAGGTGCGTCGTAACTCACATCGTGAAGCCAGAGATAGGCCTAGGGAGTGCATCTTTACCCCACATCAACTCCACCAGCCGCACGAAGATAGAGATTGACATCCTTTAGGCACTAGTGATACACAATATTTATGTAATATATGAGCGTCCTGCGTTATATTAACTTGTGTAGCTTTTTGTGATGTTTTATGAACATATTTGAACATGATAAACATATTGAACTATATGAGTTATATTGCTAAATCATATTACTTAATAAGTTTTACTTCCAAGAAAATGTTTAAAACACCAAATAACATAAAACGATATGTTTACATTACATCTTTCAGTCATTCCTATCATTAGGTTGCACAGAAGTACATTGACGTACATTATGACCAATTTGACGACAATTACTACATCTGTGTCTACTTTTTGACTCAACTCAATCCATTTTATTCCTAATTCGAGTTGATTTTGGTCTTCCCTTACCTCTGATTCTCGATTCATCAGGCACTAGCTTCCACTTATTGTTTTGGAGAACATTACCATCATTTCCTAAGGGGGACCACTGTGATGAATATGCATTGACAATATTTTGTACCAAGTAAACATCATCAACATATTGGCAAAAGTCAATACTTACTGATGCATAGGCAACAATCACATGTGAGCATGGAAATTGATATGCCTGAAATCTTCCACATTCACAGTATTTTCTATATAGAACAACAGTCCATTTGTTACCACCTCTTTGCGTGATAGGATTAAAGGCATTTTCAACCTTAAACTTAGTCCTTGCTATATCATATCCTCTCACTTGATGGGAAGATGCATCCTCTTGATTTTTTTGCACTTTTACCTCAGTTTAGAACTAAACCTCTTACCACCATTAAGGTCGTTCATTGCATCCTCTCCACGCTTCACAAAATATTCAATCATTCGTCCGTATGTGCATTTGATTAGAGCGGTTATAGGTAAGTTTCTTGCCCCTTTCAAAACCTTGTTCACAGCCTCAAATAAATTCGTGGTCATATGTCCATAACGGCCTTCATCGTTGTCATGACTCAAAGCCCACTTTTCCTTTAATATGTTATCAATCCATCTCTGTATTTTTTGTGATTCAGTGCAAAATCTTCTCAACTTCTCTTCAAATACAATCTTTGAAGGTATATATACGACAATGTACGTGACTTGATAATTAAAATAAATATAAAGTAAGAGGAAGCCAAATATGAATTAAATCATATTACCTAATTTTGTTAGTTGTTTCTTCAATTCAATGTTCTTGAATCTTTGATTGAAATTGCGGGTAATATGACGAATATAATAAACATGATATGCATTAGAAGGTTGTCATTCAATATGTGGGTTTGAAACAACACTTTTGATGCTTTAATACCCATCATATATTAAACATATTCCTGTCTTTGTTGTTATATGCACATGAATCATTACCAAAAAATTATTCTCACACTGACAGAGTCTCTCCTTCAATAATTGCAAATGCAAGTGGTAGGACACAATTATTTTCATCTTGTGTTGTTGCAATCAACAAGGTGTGACGATACTTACCATACAAAAATGTTCCATCTACCTGAACAATAGATTTGCAACAATTGAATGCTTCCTTACATTGATGAAAACGATCAAAATAATCACTCAAATAGTCTAAATCTGTTATCCTCTTGATGCCCAACAACAAATGGTTTCGTTTCAATCTTATAAACAGATCCTAGAGTATGAAACTGCATGTACTCTAACCACCTTGGCAATGTAGCATATGATTCATCCCAATTACCAAATATTCTAACAATCGCCTTTTGTTTCGCCTTCCATGCTTTTTTGTATGAAATTTTATATCCAAATTGACTTGTCATCCTTTCTTGAATTAGACTTATAGGCAATGATGGTTCAAGATTAACCAT